TAAATAATTTAGGCAGACTCTGTTCTTTTAAAGTTTATTTTATTTCTTACTAGAAAATGCTCCAATTGGTAGCCCAAATAAAGTTCATTCAAATTAAAATGAAAAAGTTCCATTGAAAACAGTCGCTAACTTAAAAACTTGGTCCGTGGTGGCCTCAACGTGATGTAAATGAATAAGTCATTCTAAAGTAGAACGTTTTATTTTGGGCTGTTTGAGATGGAAGTTGGGTTTTGTGAGGGAAAAGGTCAAATATGTAGCTTGTGGTCAAAACTGGTCTGAGAGTGGAGCACCAACAGCCAATCTGGAGCTTTGACGACCAAAGACCAGCTGGAAAATAATCCAATCAGAACACAACATTGACAAATCAATACATTAATTGGTGCTACATGTCGTAGCAAGAAAAAATACAACATCTTAACTGCCAACAGCCTGACGCACATAAATTTGATATCGATATTCATCATCCTCAGAGGTTGATTTGCAAAGTTTTTATTGATTTTTGTCAGCAGGGATTGGAATCGAGAACCAATTCCAAACTGTGCAAACCACTGGAGTCAAAAGCTTGTGAGCTTATCAATTCCTTTTATTGATGTTGGCATGTTTCTCTGACAGTTGTCCATTGGGAGAAAATGATGTGAAAACTATCTATTCTGCTGGAAAAAGAGTGAAAATGGTCCAAAGCAGGATTGATTTCACCAAAAAAAGCAAATGGTGCTTATCGTTATCTCTGTAAAATTGTCATTTCAAATAAATGTGAAACACCAGTAATAGACTGAAACATGTTCCTAAACAACATAGGTTGAAATTCCATTGGGATGTTTTTGATTCTCAACAGACAAGTGCCACAGCTTCCCAATTGAGCTGCACCTCTGTTACTAAGGAAACGTGTTTTAATAAAATGAACAGGCTTTGATAACAGAGCTTTTTTCTGACTGTTTCTACAGTGAATTCAGACTTGGAGAAAATAAAACTTGCTGATGTTGAAAACCTACAGGTATATCCGTCCTGTGCAGAAAATTGAACAGGAGTCGTTGAGAGAAATGATAAAGAATTAGACCAATTAGCAGAATCAATAACGCCACTGGAATCAATAAAGCAATTCCCCATCTCTTTTCTGTACAGCTTATCATCACCACCACTTGGTCAAAATGTTAAATTCATGCTCCCAAGAGAATGAACCCCTTCTCCTTTCTTTTCTTTCTATGTGCTCCAAACCAACATTTCTGGTATCTCGGGCCCCACCTTTTTCACTTCAGTTTCATTGATGACACGTTGGCCATTAATGAGTGTAGAGGCTGAATGATCACCAGACTTTTTAAATTCCACTAACAGCCGACCATATCCTCAGTATACCAGTGTGACCTTTGAGATAAAGTTGCCTTAGTGGCTGTGCAATGACTATTTACCCTTTTTATGTTTGCATGTTGCTTTGTTCCCAGTACAACCATGGCTAAACTGAATAAGAACTATACAATACACAATGGTAGTTTGTCATGAAGAGATTACTAAACACACAAAAAAGGAGAAAGAAACAGTTTTCACTGCGGTGATAGTCAGGAATACTGAGGAAGAAATTCTTACAGAAATCTCAACCTCTTTCTTTGTCATACTCACAGATCTCACCCCCCACCCCCTCCCATCTTCTCTCTGCCCTTTATTCCTGCTGCTCTGCTGTTTCTGTCTCTGGTCTGTTGACCAGATGAGGGCTCAGTGACTCTAAAAACCTATACCTAGCTGCCACATTTACAGCCAAATCACATGATAATGAACCCTTCTACAAGGTATCTGCAAGTCTTTATATATCTTGTCAGGCACTGAATTCAGTTTCGTCCTAAAAAGGAAGTTATCAAAACACATATGACTTATATTTAATGAACAGTTTACTGATCTTAAACATTTTCTCTTTTCTTTCATGGGCACCAGCATTATTTTATTTATCTCATGTCCATGTCTGGAGATATTAAAGAAGTTAAAAAGTCATTAATGTGGGATTTCAATCAGAATGGATTGAACGATCAGGAGGTTGTTCAGCCTCAGACCAAACTCAGAAGCTCTGACTCATTATGGACGAATGTCAATGTTAGTAAAAACTTGCATGAACTTAAATTAATTCATTACTTTTTATTGGTTCATTAATCCGGGTCGTGTTTAATTAACACAACATTAATTGCATCATTACATATTACTGCATATGCGTCGGGGAACCACTGAAAAAAAGATATGCAATACTTAACATTTTGCAGCTATCTCGTCCATATACAGTAGGATAATAAAATAGGTATTCACTTGAATTATATATTTTTTAATGAATAGGAAAATGTACAGTATATTAAAAACCAGAACACTTAGAGCTCAGTTAAAAACTAATCCTTCCTTCAGGGGATTGATTTTTAATTGATAACTAAAATAAATTTCTGTGTGTGTGTGTGTGTATTATATATATATATATATGTGTGTGTGTGCGTGTGTCATGAAAAAGATTTATTGTTGCGGGGACACTCCCGGACTTGAATGAAAATAGAAGAAAACCTCATTCTTATTTCAATTAACTTTGAACAGATCATTTGCATTAGATTGTAGAGGTGCAACTAATTAAGTGGTTAACATGAACATTTAAATAACACGGACACAATCATTTACACGTGTGTGTTCTTCAGCTCCATGTCATTAGCTTTAGATAAACACTAATGTCAGATTAGGTTTTTATCTGCTCAGTGAAGCAAAGAAATTAACTTGACTTCATGAAATTATAAAAATTAAGCCATCAAATTGATTTTCTTTCCAATTTAATTAAGCCACTGTTAGAAACACTAGCGTTCTAATTAGAGGCGTGTGCCACCCCCACTCCTCACATTTCAGTCTCTACCATCAACTATAATGAAGCAGGATACCCCAAACTAAATGCATATCAACTTTTTATTTGTGATTCTTTTTTTTTCTCAAATATTTTGTGTGTATATTTTGAAGTTATGTTGAGTACTCTGAGTTAACGTCATCTTATAATGGATGAAATGTATCCACCTAGCACAAATTAATTTCCATGGTTTTTAAATGGATTTATCTGTACATGTTAAAACGTCTAAATGAAAATCTATAGCAGACGTGTTTACACATGGGGGGGGGTATCATGTATTAAATCAATATCTAAATCCACATTGCTTTATTTGAAAAATATATACCAATTACAAATAAGGAGATGATTAGAAAATGTAAATACTGTAAGACTCCTGAGGAATAGAAAACACATCTATCAAAAGTAAATTGTTTTGAACTGTACACAATGAAACATTAAAATCATTAAGTGATAAATGATTATTTTGCTTTACTATAATAAAATATACCTCATTGAATGCTCTTAAACCAAAAAAATGTATATCAATAAAAAAAACTGAGTGACAGTAAAGGACCACTGCTCTTCCACAGAATGTTAAAGTTGTACACGACACAAATATACTTTTAGGAGGATGATATGAAAACTTGTACATTCAGAACAATAACAATCACTGTTCAGTTTCGGGTTTAGCTCACCTGGAATTCATTGGCTTTGTTGTAGTGCACGTTCAGAGCCCTGAAGAGTTCTGATTCTCTCCCCACAGTCAGAGCCCTCACGTCGGCCACTCCGTCCACGAGGGCGTGGCGGGCGAACTTTTCTATCTGGATGTAGTAGAACTCCCTGAAGTTGCTGAACCACTTGATGAGCTGAGAGCTGATGCAGCGCGTGAACTGAGGACCAAACAGGAAACAGGTATGTGAGCCCATGAAATATGAGAATGATTCAAATCACATCACTGTTTTGTGATTTGATAAATACTGTAATTGCAAAACGGCATGTTAAGCAAATAAAACAATATTACTAGGTCTTCTTTTCACAGGAATTCAATAATGTTGATAATTGCTTGATTTTAATGCTGTGATTTGAAATAAAATGTATAAATGAAGAAGTTGTGTCTTGATTGTTTATTCTGAAGCAACAAATGCATTTAGAAAACATAAGACTGGTTGAAAATTGCTTTCACAATAAAGAGCATAGATTGTTTGAATTTTTTCGAACTTTTTCAACATACAGGAAAATGTATTAAATCCGTGCTTTTCAGTAAAGTTGATTTGTGTTTTGTTTGTTTAGTCTATTGCTAAAGTCTTTTTTTCACCTGCACATCATGGAAACACATCTTCAGCACCAGCGAGCTTGGGTAGCGTGTGTAAAAGAACATCAGCTTTGCTTTCTTCAGATGTTTTGTCGTCAGACCCTCCTGATATGTGTTAAGGGTGAAACAGACAAACATGCATCCTATACACATAATGAAACAGTCTGATTTCTTTCTGCATTAATGAGCCAGCAAACATTTTTTCTGCAAGAAACCAATAGAAATCAGGACAGAAGGAGTCGCTGCAATTTTCCTCAAAGTTCACACCATCAAAGGGAGAAGTTATCGGATTCTGTAAGGTGCAAAGTTGCTGTGTTCTTCAAAAAGAGGGGAAATTGGTTTGATGAACAGACTTGGTTTATACCACATACCTGGGTTCATGAAAAGGTTTGTTATTTGAACCTCAAAAAGGCAGAAGAATTATTGCTTGTATCTAAAGTCACCTGAACTTTCTGTCACTGCTCAAAACTGTATTTTAAAAGATGAAATATTAGACATAATTATTTGGATCTTGTTAAAAGGATACATTCAGCATGTACAGGTTATTCTTCACCAGACTGTCAGACTCCATCTTGACCTGAGGAAAGCACAGGTTTTCTAAATGTGTTGGATCCACAGACACACTGCAAGTCTGTGAGCTTCTCGCCGATCTGGAGTTGACCTTCGATCTCACTTTGACCGAAGTCCAACGTGCGTCGAACATCTCAAACTTTCCTTGGCCGACATCAGAGCATCCGCCTTGCAGCCAGCTGAGCGCAGTGTTGTGATCCTTCTGTGATGGAGTCAGAGCGGAGTCATGGCTGAAGGGCACCACAGGTTTTGGACGATGGTGAGCTCCTGGTCTGGGCTGGAGTTTGTCGGGTGTTTCCAGTCGAGGCTTTTGCACAACCAGGGACAGAGCTTCGGTTTGGACATCTGGAACTTGCACCTTTGTGTTGCCAAAACATGAAAGTCCTGTTTTCTTATCTTCACACGCTGATGACAGAAGAGACACATCTGTCTCTACACCCTCGTGGGTTGGTGATGTCTGTAGAGGGGGCATACTTTTAAAAACAGAGTCAACACTCTTACTGACGGCTCTGGACAGCTCATACTTTAAGACATCTGCTATTTGCTTAATTCTTTCAGGTTTGGTTTGGAAGTAGCTCATCAGCTTCACCTTCTTACAGCCTTTATGTTCTTGACTTGAGCTGCTCTCAAACTCATTGCATGAATCTGTAAATGCATCCCTTGGGGATGTGTCAGGAGAGTTGCTCCTGGTCCGGGACTTTTCCTCACTGTTTTCTGTGGTTTCAGTTACTTCATCTATTTGGTAGAACTTTGTTCTGAGCTGCCGGAGGTGCTGCTGCTGACTCTCAAGCTGCTTTCTTGTATCCATGTGCTCCTGATGCGAAGACACTTCTCCAATCCTTTCTTTTTCCTTCACGCAGTCTGTCCACTCATGCTGACTTGCCGTCACATCTGGGCAGTGCATGCCAGGACAGCCGGTCATGCCTCTGATGATATTTTCTACTCGGGCACGCTTTGCTTGACGTCTACTGCTTAGATTCCAGTCGTGATGACTGCAAGAACCGGCTGCAGGAGAAAGGTGCCTTCTTGCAGAGCAGGGTGCATCGGGCTCCAATGGGCCAGAACGGATCAAGCTCGAACCAGCTTCACCTCTGCTGTAATAATCACTCTCCACTTTCATGTTGTCATCGTCTCTGGCAAAAGTCACAAAAGCACCTGATGCATCTGGATTTAAAGGCATAGGGTCGGGTGGGAAAGAGGAGAGATGCTGTGCAGTGCTGCCGTAAAGGCAGATGTTGTTGGATTTCACGCCCCCGCTCCAAACACATGAATCCATGCTTCTCTGGAAAGAACAGTTGGAAAAATAACATTATCATTAATCATAGAAAAAGTTCTTCTTGTAATTCCTGAAAATGTCACACAAATATATATATTTTTACGTACAAAGAACTGCATTGCATTTTCAAATAAGTATAAAAATAAATATAATATATCATATTGCTTGTCCAGGGGAAATAAAGTAACACTTTAGGTATGAATTGAACTTTTTCACAGTGAACAAAGACCATTCTCAAAGTAATTTGTTGTTTTTTGGACTGTCTCGCTAATTCCTGTTAAGCTGTATTAAAATCTAGATTCTGTTTTTCCAAGTGACAATTAAAGCCAAAGGTTCAAATATTCCTGAGAAACTAAGAGCATCTATTTCTAAGGTGAGAAACTACTTACCCAGCGTGCACAGCGAGCAGAGGAGGCAGCAGCTCTGACAGCTGCAGGAGGAGGAGTCTGTTATTTGTACTGGTCCAGCTGAGGGGGCGTGGTCACATGTACCAGCCCATCCCCATAATAACATTACCTATATATTATTTGAATGGAGCGGCCCACTGGTAATAACACGACTGAGGAATAAAAGTTTAAATGAAGTAGTTGGATTCTGTTTTCACAGTGTGGCTGAAATGTTAAGTTGAAAGAAATTTTAAAAAGTCGGTCACACCCATAGACTGTATGTTTACAGCCCTCTAACAGGACAGTGGTACAGTCCTGATGTTGTGACATTGATTTTATAATATTGACTTAATCAAATGTCTGTTTTAATTCACACTATGAGAGACATTTGTCAGGTTTTAGTTCATGATTTAGAGTTTGGTGCTTAGTAAGTCACCGCTTTCGCCGCCTTGGTTCACCGGATCTTCCCCCTCCCTCAGCCGCAGTGGTTCCTCCCAGCAGCGGCAGCACCAGCAGAAGTTAGCCGCCGCTCCTCGCTCCTTCTTCGGCTGTCAACCACAGTCTCAGCCGTTAGCTATCGCCATGTTGTCACGGTCCCGGTGTGCTTACCGGGCGCTGGGCCGGTCCCTGTCAGCGGTGAGCCAGGTATGTCTGGAACAAACACTGAACCGATATGTGCTAACTCTGAAACTGCCCCTGCTAACTGTGCCAAGACTCCGCCGGCTGTGTGGTAGCGCACCGCCCAGGTTAGCTTGTTGGGAAGCGGGGGCCTTTAGCCACAAGGACACCGACACTGACAGCTCCACCGCGGCTCGGCTCTGTCAACACGCCCTGACCCGTTTCTCCACAAACTACGTGACGGTTGAAAGTAAAAGTTTAATCTGAAAATAGTTATTAAACCTTGAGCTTTAACCAGGAAGTCACCACAAACTCGCTAAGCTAACAAGCTAAAAGCGCGCTGTGTTGTTATCAAGCTACGAGAGTTGTTTTGGGATATTCTACGCCCCAGACCTGACAGGCTAATGTTAGCATGTTCCTGCTGGCTGAGGAGGTGACCTGTCACAAATGTGTCATGTTAGACACGTGTGTGCAGAGAGGGGACCACATAGTCTCCTCTCACATGCTCAGCTGTCTTCTCTCTGCTGCGTTCAGGGAGCGAAGCTGAAACACGATCACCAGAGAGATAACTTGGGAGTTTGGTTTGGTTTCTACTTCTGCCATTATGGTGTTGTCATCTGGTTATTGATTGCAGAACGATTGCCACGTGTCAGTTTATTTATTCATTATCTGTACATAAACTCATGCTCCTCCATACAGCTCTCCTGCAGTAAGTACTTTTCCCATTGAGGTTGCAGTATTCAGTTAAATTTAGTCAAGTGTTTTTAAAGGTGTTCAGTTAATTGTATTCATTGCAGAGGCTGCGGTTTGTGCTTCTGTGGTGTTACACCCTTGCTCATATAAAGTGGGATACAGTTTATTAGGAACACCCAGGTCAAACTCAGCCAACCTTCATGTTACGCAGGCGATGATTCAACCTGTTGCCCATGTTTGCAGGCAGGAGTTAGTGATGCTGTAGAATTGTACTGCATTTTAATGAATTGTGTGCCCCCTGGTTATATCAGTGAAGTTAGACTAGAATAGATAACAGAGACATATATCTGCATAATTTAATGGAATCCCACAGCACCAGCATCTGCAGCCTCAAATGATCACAAAGCTGAATCTAAAACACAGTGGAAACAAACACGATCATTATAACCTTCATGAAAACAGACTTTATTGCAGAACTGTTGTTTTAGACTGTTGCAATAGTTTGTGTGAAAAAATAAACTGGCAACTGAGTGTATAATCGCAGCTGCAATCATTATTTTGATTATTGATAAGATAGGCTTAAAAAAATAGAACTACATTTTCTTGCATTATTGCTTAAAGAATGAATTTGATCAACTGACCAAATTATCATTTCAGCTGTAAATCTGTCAGGTAGGTTTACTGGAGCCAGAATATATTGCAAAGTGCCTGTTTTAGACTCTACTAGGTGTCCCATTAACATGTCAGTAGATGTTATGGCACAAAAGAGTTTTGAAAATCACTTGAAGGAACTCATGTGGAGTTTTGACACTAAAAAAATCACTTCGCAACAGCTTAACTCAAAATAAAACTGAATACACTAGTGTTGCATTAGTGTGCAAAATGCAATCTCTGCCCTTCGTGGTACGTAATTGACACCAGTTGTTCTAGAGAGGAAAAATAATGGAAACTCAAGTGGCTACATGTCTGCCTATGCTTTTGATCCATTGTAGACATTTTGGAGTTTTTCTGACTCCACCCTCGTCTGGCATCCCACATCCTTTGGTTCAGACCAGGGTCACGTGCAATTCTATTTGAAAAGCAGCCGCCAGAACTCAACAGCCTGCTTCAAACAGAGAGCCAGCCCTCACTAAACCTACATACATGATTCATTACGTACAGTTATTCAGCACAGTTAACTTTCACCAGCAGTTAGCATCAGCTAGCTAGTCTGCACAGCCAGTATTTAATAGTGAATCAGTGCAGAAGACGTATGTCATGCATGTCGTTGGTGTTCAGTTAAGAAGAAAAGCAAGTTCTTGTTTGATGCTTACTCATTCCACTTATGTCATCCAGTATAAACCAGACAGAACTCACAAACAGATTATTACTTTTAACTGTTTATCTTTTTTCTTATCCTTTCAGGCCAATAATGCGCTCCACAGACAAAGTGTATCTGGTGAGTATATTTATACACTATGTAGACCAGTCCTTCGGAAAGAAAGTGATTTAAGCTGTTTTCAGATGTGAACTCTGGAAAATGTCCAGAAAGTGGGGTCCTGGCATTTTCCAGAGTTTATCTGTCATATATGAAGAACGCAGCAGGACATTTTCTGTGTCAGATGTATTCAATGTAACTGGAACATTTCCGGAACATTCAGGTGAGGTGTGGAACCTGGGTTGAGCATGTGGAAAGCAGGACACAAGGTGTTCAAATATCAACGTGAAGTGTTTTCGTTTACAACACAAAAACACATAGCCATCGGCTCCTGAATCTTGTCTTTCCAAGTTGTCATTGGCGCTCTTCTTAGTTTATGACACATCTTTTTTATCCTGAGGTTCACGCTGTATTACCTGATTGACAAGGGAAACCACTAATGCATTCAGACTGTTTTTTCAGTCAGCATCCGAAAAGTTTGTAAGGTCATTACTATCTTCCGCCTGAAGCAAAATATTTTGTTGCTAACTTCAACCAAACACACTGACATTTGATGAGAATGAAGAGCAAAAATGAGAGCAGACAACTAAACTGAGGGGAAAGCTATGATTTGTGTGACCTTATTTACCACTCAATCATTTTACACAGGTTATGAACAGCAGTACTAGTACAGCTTTCAGTTGAATGTGACTTTAAAAATTATATGAACTGTTGTGATACTGTGGAGTATTTGAGTTTGTACTTGTAGTATTTCAAATGCATGATAAATAAATTTTTTAAATTAACTACTGAATTCCTTGAATACATTTTGTCTTGGAAAATGTAAACTTAAAGTTATAGGTGTGACATGTAAATGTTCTGGGTACTGTGGCAAAAAGAAATTAACCACTGTGTAACAGTAAACACTTTGTACTTAATAATTTGACTTAACAAAGATACAATTCTAACAAGAGACCCCTACATATTTTAAATAAATGACAAAACTGCTTTTGAAATTTTTTAATAAATCACACTAACTCAGTAAATATTTACAGAGCATGCAGACTTAGCAAATGTTGAAATATTACAACATGCAAAAAATAGGATTACAAAAAGAAGGCACAAACATGAAGACTAAATATCTACACATCTGCATAGTCTCTGTGGTCTTGGTTCAGTCCAATGCTGTGCCGGCCGAGCAAAGGTGAGCAGTGGTCTAGGAGTGGCCCTCTTGTGCCTGTGTGTCCATAGGGGTAGGGGCTGTGGTGGGGTGTGTGTGGTGAGTGGGGAGGTTGCTTCCAGAGCAGACAATATGCTGTACCAGTCGCTCAATATTGTCAGATAAGCGGTCCATTGTAGAAGACCAGTGACCCATGGTTTGAACAAAGTAGTCGTCTGTAGCCTCTAACCTTTGCAGCAGTCGTCTTTTAATGTCCAAATCCTCCTGCGTGACACTGTCCATGACGAGTTTCCTCTTCAGCCTGTTTCGCCTGTAGCCACACAGGGAAGCACTGAGTCTCTGGCATGGACTTCCCGCCGTCTCTGCAGACCCAGCATCCTCTGCAACACCATCCTCACTGGGCAATGATGATGACCCACCATACGCTGAGCTGGTTGTATCCAGGGCCTCCTGCACGTCCTCGGTCTTGATGGCTTCACTCAATACCTGCGTCACTGGAGATTCCCCCCAGATCGAGTCACACAGTTCAAAGTAGAGCAGGATCACTCGCCCGTGACCACGCTTTCGTCCAGAATCAACCGCTTGTCTGTACTTGAATCGAATGGCCTTGAGTTTCGTGGTCAACTGTCCTGTGAACGCAAAAATAACACGAATTAATGTATGGACATATGTGTATTTATCTAACAACCTTTATCAGTTGATTAATCCCCGGACTTTCACCAAAGTATCTCTGGCCAAGCTCCAGATGAGCCCATGGGACAAAACAAGAAATCCTCAGCAGGATTCACCAAGAGTGATTGGGCGTGTTGATGACGTTTCCAACACGCTACAGACACAAGAAAGAAGAATACAAATATCTCAGAGCGGTAAAAAGCACTTGTAAGACAACCACAAAGAAGTCAAGAGAGCTGGACCCTTTAACCTCCAAGGGTCAGCGCTGGTGTCAGTGTGCTGTCACACTGTCTCTAGTGTGGATGTGCTGCAAACAACAACTTGTGATCTCCACAGCAGAGTTAATTCATTACACCCTGCTGCACCAGCCCTCATCTGAAAACTCCAGAGACCATCCCCGTGTTGGGATGAAGCTTTTTTGACTGGAGAACCTCCAGCTGCATTGTTCGTGATGTGAAAGGCTAATTCCGGAGAAACTCTCGACCCGATTCTGCGGACATCCTCCGGAGCTGATGTCTGAAAAACGGCTTTTACGTCCAAGCATCAAGAACCCCCTCCCCCCTCTCAAGATGAACTTTCCTACATGAGGGCGATTTAAAAAACACGATCCATATGTTCCGGTAACACGAGCCGCACATACCTTTAGTGAGCTCCTCTTTTTTATGGGGGAACTCCTTTCCAGTCGCCATGGCTTCCTGTGACGACGGATAATACTCCCGGTACCGCTCCAGTATGTCGCCATATTTGCTCTGCGACGACTCCCAGTCGGTGTTTTGCGCCGCCATGGCCGCCTTGTACTCCTGCGTCACTTTCAGCAGCAGCTCCACCTCGTCGTCGGACCAAGAAAAGAAATCCCGGATCTTACTTTTCGCCATCTTCTCGTTTCCAGCCTAGCTCCGTCTGCTGCTAACAACCAAGTACTTCCTGTGCGCACCGGAACGCGCGCTCCTTCCTGTTTACGCCGCTGTGCGCAGGTCCAGTGCGCTTGACAGGCGCGTTATGGACGTGGATCAAAACTGATCCGGTGTCAAAACGTCCGTGTGGACAAAGGGACACATATGTGTATGTGCGGTGTCTTCATTGTTTCTCATGAATAAACTTGAAGTGTCTCATCCCAAGCCCCGTGCGTCATCCTTGTGAATGGCTGAGAATCCTGAGCAGCGGTTCACTGCAGCTGTCAGACAAACTCCTGTCATATGTCACGTGACAGTCTCAGCAGAAAGAGTTCCTGCAGCTTGTTGAGTTATTTTCTTCTTCCTCTTTTTTCTGTCTTTGTCACCTTTCAGGCCTCTCTGTCAGCAGCCGGACAGTCTACAGGAGTCCTCAGACGTAAGTGCTTCCTCCCACTTTCACCAGTGTCTGTAAATGTCCCTCAGGGAACACTTCATCTATAGAAAGCCTCCAGCACGACTATATATTCTTTTTTTTTAACACTGCATCTGTATGTAAGCAATGCATTGCCTGTAAAACGTTTAGTTATTTAAATTATTGTTCTAATAAACATTTTATGTATTTGTATGGATTATATATATATATATAACATAATGTAATAATGTTCATAATTACAATTATATCTAATCGAATCTTTAATTTTCTCTGTTTTATATCATTGTAAATTAATGGCCTTTTATTTGTGAATAAATATAGTTTTGATTTGAAAGGATTATCTTTAGCTTTTTGTGATTGAGGTGGGAAATCTATTTTGTGACTGTTTGTACATTTTATTTCTGCGTAATGTTTATGCTATGTTAATTTCACAATTAGTTGTGTCCCTCTAGTAATTTGTACAATTTCATTTTGTTTGACATTATTTATTTAAAAAATAAACAGACTTGCTTTTTTCTTCTTCTAGGTGTCAGTTTCCCTCACCAGTGACTGTCTTCCACATCAGATACTTCAGGACATCAGCTGTTCACAGTATGTACTGAGACAGCGTTCTGCGTCTTATCTTAAACTCAGCTCTGCTCAGTGTTCATTTAACTGTAATACTTTCTTTTGTCTTTGTTCAGGGGATGAAGTTGTCACAGTCAAAACTCCTGCATTCGCAGAATCCGTTTCGGAGGGAGACGTGAGGTGGGAGAAAGGTTTGTATTTATATAAGACTGTAAAATATTATCAGTGTTTCACAGATGTCAGTCTCTTGTATCGTTTCATGAATGAGTCAGAAGATCAAACTGAAAAGAATTTGTCTGTTTTAGCTGTGGGCGACTCAGTGACAGAAGATGAGGTGGTGTGTGAAATTGAGACGGACAAGGTACGAACAAGAAAGAGCATCAACCTCAAATTTTTGATGAAGGATTTTTTTTACAGCAACAACATTTTAAAGAATTATGTTAAACTTGTGTGTTTTGTTCTTCCAGACTTCTGTTCAAGTCCCGGCTCCGGCAGCTGGAGTGATTGAGGAGCTGCTGGTTCCCGACGGAGGGAAGGTAGAAGGAGGAACGCCCCTCTTCAAACTCCGGAAAGGAGGTGTGTATAACTGAACATTTTCATTTTATCACCAATGAACCAGAAAAACTTTGCACTATTTAAATGCTGGTTCCAGCATACAAAACATATTTTGTTAGTAACATGAACAACAAAATAACAGAATACATTCTTGATAAGAAGACAGTTATCTGAACATTATTATGTGGGATTTATCACTGCTGGCTTCACACAAACAATAGTTTCTGGCTTTGATTAAATAAAACTTAAACACTGTGATTTAAAGATTTACATCTCAGATAAGAATGTAAAAGCTGATGCACATAATGAAATCAATGTTAACTTAAAACATATGTAATAAAACAGAGATTTGGTTGTGAAGCAAAGACAGGATCTGCTTTTTTACCACATAACTTTAAACTCCTACTATACTTTTGTGTTATACGGTGTATAAGTGTTAAGACTATAGACAGTGTAAACAAAGTCTAAACTCTCTGTGCATTGTATAGTGATTGAAAGGTTTAAATTTAAACTGATAACGTACAATTTTAAAATGTATTGTTTCATGACAGCACAATGAACACACTGACTCAAACTGTATGTATCGTGAATCATTGCTACTTCATTTTTTCTTCTTTACGTCTTGTCTCCTCAGCCGCTCCTGCCAAAGCTGCCCCCTCCCCAGCTGCAGAGGCTGCAGTGCCTCCTCCTCCTCCACCTCCTCCAGCTTCAACCCCCACAGCCACGCCTAAAGTGCCCCCAGCGCCACCACAGGCTGCCCCAGCAAAACCTGGTGAGTTTCCTTCTCCCGCATATAAATCTACTGATAAGCATGTATTCAGTCTGATGTGTATAAGTATATAAGTGGGTCACTAGTAGAGGTGGGTACAGATACATGGTATTATCTCACCAAATTAGTTTATGATTAAGAAGCATTTTGTCTGATTTATCCAAATAAAGGATTTTTGACAGTCTTTAATTTTTAGCCTGTCTCTCTTTCTCTCTGTGTAGTTTCTGCCGTCAAAGCTCCTCCAGCACCTCCAGCACCTGCTCCTCCAACAGCAGGAGCCAGAGGAGAAAACAGGGTAACTAATGTTTCTGTCAAGGCTTACCAACTATGTAAAAAACACAGATCACAGATCATTTTGTTGAACAGGTGAAGATGAACCGTATGAGGTTGAGGATCGCCCAGAGGCTGAAGGAGGCTCAGGAAACCTGCGCCATGCTGACCACCTTCAACGAGGTCGATATGAGGTGAGACACAGAAAAGATCATATTCACATCATAAAGTCTGTCAGGATCACAACTCAATACAAAGGAACCTGATTCACAATTCGTGACAGAAGCGTGTGCACTCCAGTGTCACATGTGATCAAGGGACATAGTGATACTTTCATATAAACAGGTTTTCTATGTGATATCATCGATTTTCCTCAGCAACATTCAGGAGATGAGGAAACTCTATAAAGATGCTTTCCTGAAGAAGCACAGCATCAAACTGGGTTTCATGTCTGCGTTTGCGAAGGCTGCAGCACACGCTCTGACCGACCAGCCTGCTGTCAATGCTGGTGAGACAACACACACTTATTACACTGTGTTCTCTGTGGCTTGAAATTGAACTTTTTGAAGTAAAACCAGTAAAGTTTAAATTTTTTAAATGTCAATTTGTTTTTTACCCCAGTCATCGATGATGCCACTAAAGAGATCATCTACAGGGATTATGTGGACATTAGTGTCGCCGTGGCAACTCCAAAAGTACGGCCTTTGACTCTAAATTTACATTTTTGTTTAAAACCTGTTGCTGTTCAATGCTGAGTAACATCGTGTGCATGTTCAGGGGCTCGTTGTTCCAGTGATCCGTAACGTTGAGACCATGAACTTCACTGACATTGAGAAAGCCATTAACGCTCTGGGAGAAAAGGTAAGAAGCGTTGTGATGAACAGCATATATCATAAAAATATTGTATTCTTTTAAAAGCTTTACTTTTAGAACTACAATGACAAAATCATTTGCATCGTTCACCTCAGGCTCGTAAAAATGAGCTTGCTGTTGAAGATATGGACGGAGGCACTTTCACCATCAGCAATGGGGGCGTGTTCGGCTCCATGTTTGGTACGCCCATCATCAACCCCCCCCAGTCCGCCATCCTGGGAATGCACGGAATCTTTGAGCGACCTGTTGCTATAAATGGCCAGGTAAGAACACAGCAACTTTAGTTTATCTACAGGGTTCACAAAAGTTTTATTCGTACAGAAGAGTTATGAAATGTATGTTTGCTTGTTGTTAACCCAATTTATTAAATGTCACATGATACAAAAAACAGGAAGTCATTTTTATCTGCCTGGACAAGTAGTGATCATACAAACTGATATGGATCCACTGTTTTCCTGTTCTGATTAACTCAAACAAGAGAAATCTAAAACACTGCTTTGTGCTGTGGCAGGTGGAGATCCGGCCCATGATGTACGTGGCGCTGACGTATGACCATCGACTCGTCGACGGCAGAGAAGCCGTCACTTTCTTGCGCAAGATCAAATCCGTGGTGGAAGATCCACGAGTGCTGCTTCTGGACATGTGATGTTTCTTCCACCACATCGCTCAGCTGCATAAAATGAACTCCACATCACAAAACACGCACAAAGCGCTCAACGCAACCACTGACATCTTTTTAAGTGTTCAGTCTTATTGATAGAGATTCATTTGAATTATCCGCCCTCACTAAAAAACCAAACAGAAAGGCAGGAAGATTACTCACCATCTTTTGTCAGGAATAGTTTTGCTCCAGTCACATTTAGTCTTTGTAGAAGAAAACACATCAGGGTGTGTTATTACGCCCATGTGCTCTTCAGATGCTCATATATATCAGTAGATAAACATTAGCTGCGTCCCTGTCTTGGTTAAAACCATTTCTTTCCCCCTCAGCCACAGTTGGCTGCAGGACTTTCTCCCCTGTTCATCAGTCGAGCCACTTTTTCCACCGTCGGGCCGAACATCAGATGAGTTCAAGATGTTTCAATGTTAACACAGGACTGAAAGATTTCCTTGGTTTGCTGCGAGTCCTCGTCAGTAGCTGCCGTCTGGAAAAAAGGGATCGGGAAACTGGGTTTGTGTGTGGAACTTGTGTATCAGCTCCATACCTCGAAATCCATGTTGACTGTCTGACGAGTACGTGTCTAGAGGTGAATGAGTTCAGTTATATTCCTGCTTCGCACACTTCATTCATGTTCTGCACTATACTTTGTTGTTTTTAAACTTTTCTCACTGCCATCGAAATCTAAAATGTTGATCAAACTGTTGCTGAATGAGAATTCACTGTTCATCTACAGGTATCACAAACCAGACACTATTCCTTTTTTTACATATACAAATATACGTTATATATTAATGGGCTTTTTGTTGGAGGGAGTTCGAAACGCACAATTTGGTTGCAGGTTTTTATTTTTATGTTCTTGGGTCTTTCCCAGTGTTATAATTTCCATAAAAACATGTATCTATTTAAAGAAACCATTTTAAACATGAAACATCTCAAGGGTTTTATGTAATAAAACTTGTCTTGCACATTTCCTTCTCTAACGTTGTACATACATGTTGTGTTCCTATTGATCGGTCAATAATTATTTCGCACTTAAACGCTTAATCGTTTAGTTTTTATTGTGGTAATTAATTTTTTTTCATCTGAAGCTTCCAGACTTAATAATATGCTGTTATCCTGCTTTAGTAGAATCATACATTTAATCACTTTTGGTTTAAAACTTTTATTGAGAGACAGGTCTCATGTATTTTTATTGATCATATCTGATTACACATTAATTGATAATGACCACAATACTTATTTGCAGTCAAGCTTTCACTGCAGCAGAGAAACCTTCAGCTGCACATTTCACCATAACTTCCATCTGTTAGTAACAGACTTTGTCTTTTTGAACAGAACTCTGAAATATGACGACGGCAAAATAAGAGAACAACGCAGAGGCAGGGTTCGTCTCATCATCGATCTCTTGCTGCATTTTATCTCGTGCCAAATCTATTTTGCTGCCGAATCCTCCGCTGCAAACCAATCCTGTGCCAGAGGCCAATCTTCAAAGCCTCATTAGCCGGCCACGCGCTCGGCTCCCGAGAAGCTGCAGCTAATGTGATCATCTCTGACAAAGTCTTAAGGGTTGCTCGGCCCTTTACGCCACTTCACAGACAGGCTGGAGTGTGTGCAGCTGCGTATGATCCCCCTTCACTATTTCTGTTTACTTTAATAATGACAGGGCGACAATGGCTCCTAATGTACGTCTTTGTTTCTCTGCCAGCACCTACACAAATGTCTGAGCAGCACTGTTTGGAGGAAAAACACAGGATTCATTATGAGAGCACAAAAAAAACCTCCAAACATTCGATTAGCATGAGAATACTGGAGGTCCTAATGGACCTGAATACAGCAAACAATGATACAAGCCCTCCTCTAATTTAATTATTTACTTTTATTACTGCTCAAGATTCCATTAGCGCTTTCCACATCATGGTAATTGGCAGTGTGTGCCAGCGGGTGCAGAGATATCTGAAGGGTTCGTTGGCAGGTTTTTGTCTCATCTGCAAAATTTGGCCAAATCTGTGAATTTCCAATCGGAGCGCTCAATAAGACATGGGGTTTTAAGTCTTTGTGTCCATTCACATGAAAGATGGCCTGTTAGAAATTTGGCAGTGAGCTGTTTGTTTTCATTAAACCACATCAGAGAGATCATTTACCTAAATTATTCTGTTATGTTTTCTCTTTTAAATACGGTAATTATATCAGTGTCATTATGAAAAGCATCACATTTCAGATCAACTGGATGATACAATCACTAATGTTATTAAATTCTTCATTTAAACTTAACTTGGAATACTTTATACAGCGTATAAACATTATGAAGTACAGTATATAGCAGAAAGTCATTGCCAAATGTTCAGCTCTTGTATGCATGTGTAAATAAATGTTAAAATCCTGTTATAAAAGTGTGCTGGAGAACGTTAATGCAGACAGAGACAACTTTTCAGCAAAAAAAAAAAAATTGGTGTCAGTTCCGACAGTTAACTACTGATTTGTATTCATGTCTAAAGTTGTGACGATCAGATGTTGCTTGTTCACTCTGAAGCCGACGTGCTGAAGGTGAATAATCAACATGAAGAGTCAAACCTGCTGGTGTGACGTTACACATATCAGCACAATGTAAATGCACTGAAGCATCCTGGTTGGAATTTTCACTACAAATCGTTATTTTACTTTTTCTGAGTGCATGTGGACAAATTTAACATCACAAATGTCTGATGTTTTTGTTAAGTTACAGGAACAAGGAGACGCATCACGGTGAGAACTTGATTCATTATTTTCTTAAATTCTCTTCAGACCTCCTTGTTCTGTGTTGTTTTGTTGAAGCGGGATATTCAGCTCAGCAGTGATGGGGCTGAAAACATCGTCACCTCACTCAAATTGTTGGTTTAAAATCCTACGTATGATATTATTGCGTTAAGCTGTTATCTCGTGACACAAACAATGTGCACAGATGAAATGGTGTATCATTGTCAGATGATGGCCCTGTTGCATCTCCCACCTTGAGATTAATAGTCCTGCTGTGCTGGGCCTGCATAAGTGATGCTGACATGCATATTCAGAAGTGTGCCGTTTCCTTTACAGGCCCAAACAACCAGCCTGCATCTGGCCCTATTCTTCTCCTCTTCTCGTCTCCTTTGATGTGGACGCCAGCTCCCTTTTCTTCCTGCTCTTGTTCTCCCCTCATACCTGAAGATTATTTTGGGATGGGGCGGACGAGGCTGAGGACCCTGTGGCCCCTGGGCCGCACACAGCTGGCAGAGCTGAGGTGGGTGCAGCTGGTGGGTGTCAGAGGTTCAAGTGTTCACACTGGACCCGAGTGGGTTGGGTTTGTGCTGTCAGCTCCTCCTCATGAGCACTGACACATCATTCACACTTTTAAATTGTGCTGGTTTAGAAAAAGTAATTCTGCAGATGAAGAGGATCAAAATATGAATGATGACTTTTTATTTAAAGACGTCAGGCCTGTCATCGTGTGTCCTCATCTCCCAGATGTTGTACGTCTGTTTCTGTGACAGCTCAGCGAAAATAAAAAGTCATCATTACATTCAACACAAGTTCTTAAAAGGTTATAAGTGATCTGTGTTCAATTATCAAGTGATTAAATCACTTCACTGTCATTTAAAGGGGGGGGAGGGAAACATCTGCACAACATCTGAGCTGCACAGACACTGAGATGTGTTTGTGGCTCTTCTCTCCTGCTCTACAAGAAAAGGGTTTTCCCATTAAACCAAAGTAGCATGGAATGTTTATCGATGGCTTCAAAACATCATGCAAATAAATCTGAAACTTGAATAGCCCAGTCCTCCACCGAGGCCCAACATTCCCTTTATGAAACCACATTTAAATTCACTAGATCTGGATTTTCATTTGCACGCACTCATAAATATCTGTCAGTTAGAAGTTATGTTTCGTCAGGATCCATGAATTACTCTCGGAGAAGTAGAAGACGTTCAGTTGTTTTTGAGATGGAAATAAAGATGAATGTGATATAAATAGAACTATTTGAAAATGCTACCGTGCCTCTTGCAGACGAGAGGTTTTTATACTTTACAAGCAAGTAACTTTAAAACTGATGAGAATTAGAACAGTTAGATAGACACTGAATGCTGATGTTGGTTTGAAGCATCTCCATGAAATAGCCTGTCCCCTCGGCCTGGAGTGCGTTGTCCTCCAGCTCAAGGTTTGTGATGTCGTTGGTATTCTAAAATAATCCGAAACCGTAAATGAGGGACAGGGAATACTGGACATTGAGTAAATGTTGCATCTCATTTCTCCCTTTATCTTTATTTCTCCATCTACTGCACAGAAAATGTAGAAAACGTGAAACTTAATCAACAATAACCATAGCTTATAACATTCATTGGATTTTGTTGATCATTGGTTTCAGGGACGTGTACTTGCAGAGCTATGGCCTCACTTCGTGGTTCAGGTTGAGGTTTTTGCTTCTTCCCAGATAAATAGATCAAAATACAACATTGGTTAAATCTAGTGCTGTTTTTTTTATTTGAAATGTTTTACCTGATGATGATCAGTCTTAGCTTCACCTGCTATTTATATTTGATTTGATTGTTCTTATTATCATCAGTGTCTAAACTGCTTTTATGTAAACCACTTTGTGTTGCATTTTATACATGATGTATAAATAGAGTTTGTATGTAAACATAAACATGACCTGGGCCTGGATTAACCATTTTCAAATGAATTATATACCTTTGTGAGGAAGCTGACATTAATGCTGTTTTATAACTTTTCCTGTAGATGCCCTGGAGAGAAGAGGTGAGGTGTTTAAAGACAATCCATCCGTCATCACTACCTCTGCCCAGGAGGTAAACTCTCCTCAATTTGTGTGTGCAATTTAAAGGGACTGTTGGTGGAGGAATGAGCTCTTTTCAGAACCATAGTTAAGCCGTGTGGTCCTCTGTCTCCAGATGTGTCCCACCCTGCACCACTGTCCTGGGTGGAGGTCTCCTGCTGCTCGGCCTGGCCTCCTGTAGACAGGACTGTGGGATGTGATGGCTGCTGCTGATCTTCCTGTTGGAGCTGCAGAGTTACACCGACCTCCAGCTGATCCATCACAACACACAGAGCTGATCCATCACAACACACAGAGCTGATCCAGTGAGTGAGAGGAGGTGAGTTCACTGACATCCTGCAGAAATGCACCATGGAACCATTTGTGACGACAGACACACTGTTTATCTGTTGTACAAAGGTTCACAGACCTTTTAGGACTGACTTGATTCGCTGTTAGTTTAATGAAGAAGGCGACTGTTCCATAAAAAAGAAATAGAAATGATATTTACTGACACTCTGACTTTCACTTCACTCCTCTGTTCACCAAGATGATATCACTTTAGCCTTTGAGGAGCATCGAACGGTGACAAAATAGAATATGGTCAAATTATCAGTAACATTTATTCTCCAATCAGCGGCTTCGATCACAATGAGTAAAGACGAACCGTGTAGTTCACAAAATGTCCAGTAGAGGGAACTGTTGACCGTAAAGTGTTAATAGTAATACGGTTTGTTCGAGGTTAATTCTCTTCTATTATAAAATCCTTTCCGTCTTTACTATACAGTTTATTTAGGCCTCCCTCTTTTGTTGTCAATTAGAGAACATTATTGCAGAAGCCATGTATTTATTCATTGACTTTTTCATCTTTATTTAAGTTGTTAACAAATCAAATTCAAGTATTGATCATGTTTTCATGAAAACATAAATATGAACTTTATATATAAACTAGATGGGCAGAGACTGATCGACCACATTATCACCATTGTGGGATTTATATGTTTATATGTGTTTATTTATATGTTGATTCCCAAAATCTGGATCATTATCCAGATGTGCAGACCTGATTTATTTCTTTAAATAATCTGTGAGGTCCACACCAAAATGTAATGGGTTCTTCCTTGATCCATTCCACATCGTTCCACTGAATGTGTGAAAATCCATCTTGAGGTTTTTGCATAAACCTGCTGAATAAAA